TGTAAACACAGCTTTGGTTCAAAATGACTTTGACCCATTGGGAAAATAGGTCTTATTGCAAAAACAGGGACGAAATCCCACAGGGACATATGCAATAATACCAGCTACCATGTGTTGACAGCTTACTGTATCCAGGCACTGTGCTTCAGCAGTTTAGATATGTTATCATCCCAACCTCCCTTTGAGGTAGGTACTATTACCCCCATTTTACAGAGGATGAACCCGCCCAGAGGGGTTAAGTGGTTTGTCCAAGGCCTCCCAGCAAGTGAGTGCCATGTCTGGGATGGAACACCGTATTTCTGACTCTTGTCCTTAGCGACTACATTTTACTGCCTCCAAAATAAGGTGGCTCAGGACTGGATCTGTTACAAGAAACAGGGGAAAAAGGAGGTCTGGGTGTCTCGGTTGAGGACCAGCTGGGTAAATGCAGTCACGCACTGATCTCTTTTTTAAAAAAGGAAGAAAGAAAAGCCCACACGACCAGAGGATGTGTTAGCAAAGGGAGCAGGACACTCACACCCTGCAAGCTGCCTTCTCTGGACACCACTTCCTCCAGGCCTCATTCAGGAGGGTGTGGAGCACAGTGGTTAAGAGGGGGCCCAGCCCAGACTTCCTGGGCTGAATCCCAGCTCTGCTTCTCACCAGCTGTGTGAGAAGCAAGTTATTTGACCTTTCTAGGCTTCCATTTCTTCATCTGTAAGATGGGATACTCACAGGACCTACCTCCCTAGGCTTGTAAGGATCAGATACATTAATTTATGAAAAGAGCACGGAACAGTGCCCGGCATGTGGTGAGCCTGAGTGTTGGCCACTGTCATGGATGGGGTCTCAGGTCCAATGTGGTCCCTCAGTCCTGTGACTCTGTCATGTAGGTACTCACAGCCCAATGCCTGCCCTAACTAGGCTCCTGTGCCCCCACCAACTCCCCTCTCCCCACAGGAGATCCTGCTGGGTCGTGGCTTCACCTTTTGGCAGTGGTTTGATGGCGTCCTGGACCTCACCAAACGCTGTCTCCGGAGCTACTGGTCAGATCGGTGAGTCCCCGCCCCAGGTGGCCTGAGCAGCTGTACCTCCAGCTCCCACTCCACACCCTGCGACCCCATCCACATCCTCTCCCTCATCCTGGCCAGGTTGATCATTGGCTTCATCAGCAAACAATACGTCACTAGCCTTCTTCTCAACGAGCCTGATGGAACATTCCTCCTTCGGTTCAGTGACTCAGAGATTGGGGGCATCACCATTGCCCATGTCATCCGGGGCCAGGATGGTGAGGTCACCCCAGCCAGTCCTCTGCCTCTGTGCCTGTGCCCTCTGGGGTTTCTTCTGGGGAGGAAACATCTTGGCCTTCCTTGAGGCCAACCCTGGTCTTCAAGAAGTTCTTCCTTCGGTCCAACTTCTCTTCCTCCTTCTGTGGTCTAAACGTCTACCTTCTCACTGTGAGCTCTGTGGGAATGGAGACTGGTGGGTCTCCCTCCCTCAGGACCCTCACCCTAGCTCCTCTCTTCCTCACCTTGGTAGATTGAGAATGAGTCCAATAGTGGGAGGAGGTTGGGGTAGGGGAATAAAGTCTGGACAGAGGGGACTCAAGGTCTCATTCCTATTGTAGGCTCCCCACAGATAGAGAACATCCAGCCATTCTCTGCCAAAGACCTGTCCATTCGCTCACTTGGTGACCGAATCCGGGACCTCGCTCAGCTCAAAAACCTCTACCCCAAGAAACCCAAGGACGAGGCTTTCCGGAGCCACTACAAGCGTGAGCTGGGGCTGGCAGTTCTGACTCCTTCCTGTTGTCCACCTTCTCCCTGCTCCCAGCTGCCCCCTCCCTGCCTGCTGTGTGTCATCCCCGACTTCTCTCTCCATTTTCATCTCCCTGCTTCTGCTACCTGCCCATCAGCCATGCTCACCTTTTCCACCTCCCTTCCTCCCTAAATCAGAAGCACTCCATGGCTCTCCTTTCCTCCCCACAACAGCTGAGCAGATGGGTAAGGACGGCAGGGGTTATGTCCCAGCTACAATCAAGATGACTGTGGAAAGGTGAATGTGCTGGTATGGATGGAGGGTGGGGCCCAGTACTTACCTGGGGGAAGGGGTGGTGGCATCAGCCCCTGGTCAGTCACACATGCCTCCTCCCCTCCTCCAGGGACCAGCCACTTACCACCCCTGAGCCCCAAACGCCTACCATGATGCCCTCTTACGATCTTGGAATGGTCCCTGACTGCTCCATGAACATGCAGCTCGGCCCAGATATGGCGTAAGAAGCTTGAGAGACGGAACTGGGAGTGGTCTGCGCCAGCAGGCTGTTTCAGCATGGGCAACTGGGGGAGCTGGCACTGGGGGCTGAAGTAGGGAATTCCCTTTCCTTGAAAGGGATTCCCCATCTTGAGGCAGGGATTTGGGGTGTCCAGGAGAAGGGCTGGCATCAGGGGTCTGCTTTCTTTCCCCAGGCCCCAGGGGTACCCACCACGCTCTCACTCCATCCCCTCATATCCAGCCCTTCCCCGGGAAGAATCGGTCAATGTGCTGCCAGCCTTCCAGGAGTAAGTGGGGCCCCCTCTGGGGAACGGGGTGGGATACCCACCTGCAACGGGCCTGGTCACTTGCATTTGTTAGGGAAGTCTCTTCTGTGAGAACGGGGTGGCAAAAAGCCAACACCTGGGTCTCTTCTGTCCATTCCACTGAGGTGTTAGTGGTTAAGATCCATGTTCGAATTCCAGCTCCACCACTTGCTGACTTTGGGCAAGTTACTTAACTCTGATGTGTCATCTGTAAAATAGGGAATAATGATAATAACAATACCTACCTCACAGGGTTATTGTGAAGGTTAATTGAGTTAATAGTATGTGTAAAGCTAAACACAGTACCTGGCTCACAGGAAGAGCTATGTAAGTATTAGTATTATCTCTCCCGCCCCTGAAATCTACTGTCATTTATCTGCTGTCTTGATTTTTATTTATTTATCTTTTTGGGCCTGAAGTGGCATAGACACTTGTTCTCCAGGTAGCACTCAGGTGCTTACTAACTCTCAGTCGAGGCATGACATCTCCCCTCCCAGGAGTTGAGGTAGGGGTGGGGACAGGGGTACTTAGAGCCAGCAAAGTTCAAAGTCCAAAGAAACATCAGAAATTAGTTAATCTAGCCCTCCTCTCTCTCCTGCCCCCAGTTGCCAATGCATACGCATTTATACAGATGAGAAGTCCAAGCTCACAGGTGGAAATGGCTTGCCCAGTGCTTGCCGTCAGGATGAGGAGCTGGAAATACTGTTTCCTCACTCAGTGGTCTTGACTTTGCAACACCCTGCCCTCGTCCAGCTTTTCTTTCTGACTGTGTCCTCCTTCCTGATTCCAGACCTCACCTGCAGATGCCGCCCAGCCTGAGTCAGATGAGCCTGCCCTTTGACCAACCTCACCCGCAGTGAGTGACGCCCACCCCCATCCTGAGCTCATGCGCCTCATTCATCCCCAGCCTCAACCCCCCGACCCCCGCCACCACCTCACTTACTTCTCTGGGCCCGGCAGGGGCCTGCTGCCGTGCCAGCCTCAGGAGCATGCCGGGTCCAGCTCCAAGCCCTTGCTCTGCTCAGATGTGACCATGGCGGAAGACAGCTGCCTGACGCAGCCGGTGGGAGGGTTCCCTCAAGGCACCTGGTGAGTGTCAGCCGGGGGGTGGAGGCTGAGGAGTGGGTGCCATGCCTATCTCACTGCTTCCCTCCTTCCTCCCTGCAGGGTCCGTGAAGACATGCTCCCGCCCTTGCTGCCTCCCACTGAACAGGACCTCACCAAGCTTCTCCTGGAGGGGCAAGGAGAGTCAGAGGGAGGGTCCTTGGGAGCCCAACCCCTCCTGCAGCCCTCCTGCTATGGGCAGTCTGGGATCTCAATGTCCCACCTGGACATAAGGGCTAACCCCACTTGGTGATCCCAGCTGGAGGGGGAGCCCAGAGACAGCTCTCTTGCCCCCATGGACCTGCTCTGAACACCTGCCTGTGCTCCTGCCAAGCAGCAGCTGGGGAGGGTGTCCTCCTATCCCCACCTACTCCCTGGTCAGGAGGAAAAGACTTTGCCAGGAGAATGTATAGTGGGTGGAACATATCTACTCCTTCCTTCCCACCACACACCCCTGCCCTCCACTTTCCAAATACTGGAAGGGAAATTCAGGTTCCAAGTGAGACACGCCCCAAAACGCCTGCACACGCAGAACACACACACACACACCCTCTCCTTAGAAGATGTGGCTGAGCAGGAAGGGGGCTGGGCCAGAGCACAGGTGAGGGCATGGAGGGCTTCTCTGCTTGCCCTGAGCCGGGGCTCCGGACACACATGTGGAAACACACAGACACGTGCACACATCTGCTTCAGAGGCTAGGGGTGGAAGTATGGGCTTGGGTCCCAGCCCTGGGGGCACGGGAAACCGTTCAGGAGACCCTGGGAGAGAGGGGGGTCTGTACATTTGGTCGCTGATGTGGGTTTTGCCCAGATTAAAAAACAAATCCCAGTCAGCTCCAAATTCCTGCCAGTCAGATGCAGGCTTTTGGATACGTGTACGAGATTGCGCAGAACTATAAGGGCCGAGTTTGCGTATAGCTGTGTGAAAGTGTGTGGACCTGAGATGTGTTAATATATAGATGTCACACGTTAGTTTTATGGCCACATAGAACACGCACCTCTCTGATTTTGCCTGTGTGACAACACGTTTGGAAGTGTGAGACACTGCTCAAAAGACACCAGCGAGTATACTAGCCTCTCTGACGTATGCTAACGCAAATGTACTAAGCTTTGAGTATGACTGTGCCCAGGTTGGGTCGATGTGGCTGTAGCTTCGATGGCTCAACACCTGCAATCCTGCCCAGAGGCAGAGGCTGAGCCTGGGGTCCAGACTCAGGTGTGTGGTCCTCATGGTGTATTGGGGGCCCTACCCGCTTCTTCTTTTCTATTTCCCCACCCACCGCCAGCTTCCCTCCACTCCCCAACCCCATGCCACCCTTTCTCCATCTTGGGGGTCATAGATCCTAAGCCATAAAATAAATTTTATTCCAAAATAACAAAATAAATAATCTACTGTACACGATCTGAAAAGAAAGACGCTCTAACTGCTCAGACAGGTGCTGCGGCCCAGATCCCAGCTGAGGGAGACCCTGAGTCCACCCAGGCCTCCCGAGGGGGCCGGTGAAGGGGACCCCACACCCCCCTAGAGAGGGCAAGAGGGAGAGAACCGCTGAGGGCTTGGGGGGAAGATGGGGATGGGTGGGCGAACTGCAGCACTTGTTAAATTAAAGAAACAAACTAGAAGCACAAAAATGGAGGAGCAGAGGGGAGGAGCAGGTCCAGTGTTCCCAGGCCCCCAGATCTGGGGGGAAACCGTTTCCATTTTTAGCTGCTGGACCCTCCCAAGCCCTTTCCCCCATGTCCAAACTGAGTCCAACTGCTCACGTCACTGACTCTAACTAGAGAGGATGGGAGTGTGCTGTGTAAGGGAGGGGAGAATCCCAAATGCCCTGGAGGCAGAGTTCTTGCCTCCTTGCTCTGGGCAAGGGTGAGGGGGCACCATGCACCCTCCTTGTGTCCTCTCGCCAGGCCCCTGCTTGTTATTGCTTGAAGCCCCATAGTTCTATGCCCATGGGGCAGGTGGGGAGGCAGGAGAAGGGCAGCGGAAGGATCCAGGGTTGTGACTAGATGCCAGGGATGGACAGTGGAGGGGTCTGTGTGAGCCAGAAGCCTGGTGCCCTGGGTCTGAGGACGCCAGTCCCCCCCTCACTGCCGGCTGGCCTCAGCCTCCACTTTCACGCTGCTCCTTCGACCTTCCACCAGAGCAGGATGGGGTCCTGGGGCAGGGCATCGGTCCAGCAGCCCCTCCTCGAACTCTGCAGGGAGAAGGGGTAGGTTAGGAGGCTGCAGGATGGACGCTGCAGACAGAGCGGGGCTGAGAACAGAGGCAGGGGTAGAGAAGGCTGCGAAGATGAGCTTGATTTCCTGACTCCTGCCCACCTCTGGTCTAGGGGGCGGTTCCATACCCAAGTGTGTGTGCCCCCCTCCCCTTGCTGGCTGTGTGTAGCTCTCTGTCTCTGGATGTGTCTCTCTCTTTCTGTCTCTCCCGCCTCCGTTCTGCTGGAATTTCTGGTTCTGTCAGGAGCTGTGGGGGCGGCTTGGCTCTGACCTCTCCCCCTCCCCCCTTCCCAGGCTCTGCTGCCCCCGCTTATCCCTGGCCTCCTCTCAGGGCACCCCCCCAACCCTACCATGCCCCCCAGGGTTCTTAGAAGCCAAAACAGGGGGGACACAGGAAGCCAGCCTCCCAGCTCCTCCCCCAAGAAGAGCCCCCCTGTCAGTCCCCGCCCCCAGTTCCCACCCACACACAGTTTAAAAATACCAAGCTAGGGTTGGTGGCTTTGTCTGCTGCGTCACTCTGAGCCCAGCCGATGCCCGGCCCTCTGCCGGCCTCCTTGCCTACTCCCGCTTCCCCCATCCACACACAAAGCATCCCCCTCTGGGCTCCTCCAATTCCAAGCTGGCAACCCTACCCCAACTCCTGGCCTGCTCCACCCTCCTGCGTCGGTAGAAGTTCCATCCAAACTTCCCTTCTTGGTGGCTCTCCTCTTCCTGCTCCCCTTCGTTCCCCATTCTCTGTCCCCCTGCTCCCCAAACTCGCCATTCACAGACGTCCACTTGGGGTTAGACCCTCCCCACTGGGAACAGCCCTGCAGGGTTCCCCCCTCCTCAACCCAAGGCCTGGTTAGCTGGAGCCCCACCATGCTACTGCCCCGAGGACACCAGGACTGCTGTGCGGGGCCTGGGCGGCAGGGGTGCTTGGGGATGGCACTGCTGGCTGCCTCACCTGCGAGAGGTGGCTTTGCGGGCACACAGGGGCTGAGGCGGCCCACGCGGTCGTGGGAGACGAGGCGGGCTAGCCGCAGCCCCTCGTCCATCAGCGTCTGCTGCAGGATGTGGCGGCTCCACAGCCCATGGGCTGGCAACGCCAGAGGCAGGTCAGCAGGGGGCGGCGTCAGCCTTGGGCACGACCCCACAGCTGTGGGCAGGGGCACGGGTCAGGTAGGGGGCCGCAGTCAATGGAACCCTCACCCTCAACCACACAGCCAGCTCCACAGGCCCAGGCCCATTCGCTCCCGCCCAGCCAGGCCTCCCAGCCCTGTGCCAGGCAGTGGCCTCCTGGCGCCCTCCTCCCACACCTTTCCCCCACCCCCGCCCCCTCAGTGAGACGCACTCTGATGCACACTCACCCTGCAAGTGTCCATCCAGGCTCTCCCCGGACAGGCTGGCGCTGTCTTCCTCCAGGCTGGGGCGGTATGGGTGTGCATAGGACTCAGGGCCTGGGGGAGGCTGCTGGATTTCAGAGTGACTTTGTTCTCCAACCTGTGGATGCCCCAAATGGGGAAATGAGGACTGGCAAGAGAGGGGGCTGGGGAAGATGCCCTAACCTCCTATATGTACCCTAGCAAACCTACCTCTTGTTTCAGTTTCTTCAGTGGGGGGCCTCCCAGTTCTTCAGGGTGGAGCCTGCAAAGATGGAGAGAAACAAGGAGGGTGAGGCTGGGGAGGGACACATGGTGGACAGGACACAGAATCTGATGGGGAACATGCATTATTCCCAGGATCTGGAAAGATGAAGGGTAAGCAGCAGTCCCCAGCTCAAGCACTATTGTTGTGGGGGGCAGAAGGGACCTGAGAGGGATGGGAGGTGGGGCCAGACCTAGGCAAGTGGACTTGGCCAAAAGCAGGGACACGCAGGCAGGTGGGAAGCAGGCCTACAGGCACCTGAACTGGAGGTCAGGACGTGACCCATCTCCTTGGCGGGATTCTGATCTAGGGAGAACCTGGAGAAGGGGGTCTCACCTGGAGCCCTTCAAGGAGGACAGGTAGGTGCTCTCTCGGGCCACTTGGCGGGACAGGGAGAAGAGTTCCACCCTTCGCAGTAAAAGAGTGTTGTCCCTCATGCAAAACTGGGCAGCAGCCTCGTTGATGGTCAGCTGTGGAGAGGACCGCCAGAGCAGTCAGAATCCTAACTGGCCCACCACCTTGCCCAGACCTCCTCACTCCCCTTCACCACCAGAGAAATGAGGCTTATCCATCAGATGTTTGCTTGGGTTTTGACATCATGCAGGAGCTTTCTGAGGAAGGAAAACAGAGATCAGTACCCACAGCTTCCTAGGAACGCCTGGGGCCTCCTCCCCTCCTGGGGCGTCCTGAGCGGCGTGGGGCTGGACAGCCGGGCTCTTGCCTGTGTCTCTGCTTCCCTCTTAGTTGAGGGAAGCACTGCAACCACTGAAGTTGGTAGGGGAGGGGATCAGGGCCTGGGGTCCTCACCTCATGCAGGCTCAGCTGCTTGCCCTCCCGCCGCTTGGAGTCAAAGCGGCCATAGATGATGCTGTATTTGCGTATCTCCTCTTCCTTCTGGCTGTCATTATCGTCCATCTCAAAGATGTGGCCCACGCTCCGTGCCAGCTTCTTGTTCAGCTTCAGCAGGGAAGTTACCTCCCCAGCATCCCCCCTTGGGAAGCTTCGGAAGATCCTCTCCACGCTCTCCACCACCATGCGTACCATCTCTGGCTCCAGTCGATCCGGACCACCACCAGCCCCAGCTGCTGCCAGCCCCCCAGCCCCAGTCCCCTCAGGGACTCCTCCCCCTGCAGGTGGGGAGAACGGGGGTGAGCCAGCCTCCTCTTCTCCTCCTGCCCCAACATCAGACTCTGGAGTGCTCCGGCCTGGCCAGATCCGGGGGTCCCCTGCCCCAGGTCCCCCAGACAATGGTGACAGCTTCTCTCCGAGTTCAAGGGGGCTCTTAGGGCTAAAACTGCGGGCACTGCCCGCCTTCTCCCCTGGGCTGCCATGCCCGTTGCTCATGCTCCCTTTCCGGGTCCCTGCAGTTTCAGAGATCTTGAAGAGTGGAATGCTGGAAACGGGCACGGCAGGCACTGGCTGGCTGAAGAGCCCTGGATTGGTGGCCCACTCTCTCAGTGCCTTCTGTAGGCGTCGGACATGGAGGGGCTTGGTGGCCATGCCCACAAGGGCCATGATCTCCAGGAACTCCTCCTCACCCGCCTCACACAGTTGCTGCACGTCGTCCCCTCCCTGCTGGATGAAGGTCTCATAGTAGGAAAGGAGATTGGCGCGCTGCAGGACCCGGTACAGCTGCAGCTCCCCCAGTGTCCGAGGCAGGGCCATGGCTCGGGCACTGGGCCTGAGAAGGAGGCGCACAAAGGGGGGGGCAGTCAGTGCAAGTTCCCTTGCTGGGTACCAACCCACACTCACAACTGTTTTCTCTTTCCTGCCTGTTTCTCTTCCCCTCTTTTGAATGCTCTCTCTACCCAGACCTGAACACAGACTAGGAGAATCAGGCACTGCTCAGAGGCACAGCCATGCCAGTGCTATCCCAGACTGGCCGCAAGTACCAAAAGCCAGATCAGTTTTTGCCAAAGTCAAAGGCTCCAAGCCCCCCTCCTCAGCTTTTACTTTTCTGGCCTGGGGCAAGGAGACCTTGAGCACTGAGGCCAGCCAGCACACCCCTGGGATGGCTGGACCAACCTCTCTTCCAGAACACAGTGCTCACCTTCCACCCTAAACACCTAGCAGTCTCAACATTACACAAGTTAACTTCGCACACTGAGGTGAATGCAGGACCCCCATCCTCCCTGCAGTGGACACCTAGGACCACTATGGGCCAGCTTTATTCCCTGGTGGCATCCTGCTCGTGTGGCTGAGAGGCAGGGGTGTGGCCTCTACCCCTGCCCTTTTCCACTCAGTGAGCTAGGCAGAACATCCTCTGCTCCCCTTTTCCCACCCCTGCTCAGCTTTTCCCACGGATTAGGCATTCTTTGCCCACTCTTGCGCTCTCTCCCCAGGACCTCCCCTGCCTTCCAGACTGCCCAGTGCACCTCAGTTGGCCCCTCTCCCAGCAGTGACCTTCCCACCTGCTCCATAGGTAAGCCCATCCCTTCAGCTCGGGAACGGGAGAGAGGAGGAGTGCCTCAATTGTTCTGCTTCGGGGCCCGGTCCGCCCCCACACACTCCCACAGTGCTACCGTCTGTGGGCGAACACCGCCGGGGGGCTCCCGCCTATTCTTCTCTCCCTCATTTTCCACCCTCGTCTTCAAGGGTTGTGTGGGTGCGACTCAAGACCCCTTGAGGGAGGGGCCGCACAACGAACCCCCCCCCCCCCGCAAGCCACAGAAATGGAAAGAGACGCCTAAGGCATGCCCCGCTTCTTTCTGCAGAGCTCCTTTGATGCTCTGTTGGTTCAAAGGCGCCGGCTTCTCCCGGACCCCGGAGCCGCGCGCTCCGTGCCGACGACGGACTGAGCCAGCTGAGTGGCCCTCCCCCGGCACTGTTGCCAGCTAAAGCTCCAGGGCTTCCCCTAGCGCTTGGGAGCCTCCACATTCTTTGCAGGGGGCTCACATGCCAGGTCATGCGCACAAAATAAACGGGCGATGGAGAATTAGGTACTGCTCTTTCACATCCAGCTTCATCAGCTTCCTGCCTGCTCCCAGGGCCCCTAATTCGAAGACGCACCCCCTTTCCGTCAGTCTCCACCCCCCACCCCCGTCCCGCTTCCCCTCGTCCTCTGCTCGACCTCCGCCCTCCGGACCCCTTTCCCGAGTCCAGCTCCACCCATCTCCACTCCCCGGCGCTTCCCTTTGCCCACTAACTTGAGTCTGGGCTGCGGGGTCCGGCGGGCGCTGTCCCCTCCGCCCGGCGGCTGCTCGGCTGTGGGGGAGGGAGCTCTGTGCATGGACGGCTGCAGACCACCGGGGATGCCCCTCTCGGTGCCCAGAGCTCAGCGCCTGCCGCGCGCTGCTCTCTTCCGGGCGCGCGAGGCCGTGTCCGCCGCTGTCCGGGCTCCGTCCCTCCCTCCACGTCTCCTCTCTTCGAGCCTCCGCGCCTCTGTCTGTGCCTCTGCCCCCCCCCACCTCCCCGGCTGCGCTTGCCGCCTCTCCGCGCCTCCGCCCCCGCAGGACGCACGGGGAGCGAGGCCCGGCGCAGCTCTGGCTGCCTGGCGGGCGGAGGGCGTGGGCCGAGCCGGGGGCGGAGGCCGGGGGCGGGGGGCGGGCGCCCGGGCCTCTCCGCGGGCCTCAGGACGCCGCGGCGGAGAGATTGAGAGAGGCGGAGACTGGGGGGAGGGGGTGTGGAGCAGGAGGCGGGGGCGGGGACTCGGAGCCTGGGCGCCGAGTTGGGGACTGAGGTGACCGACGCTGGGCTGTGGAAGGCGGGCTTGGGGATCCGGCGGGCGGGGCGAGGTCGCTCCGTGCCGCCCACGCCGGATGCACAGCCGGCCTTCTCCGCGCCCACGTACCCACGTGAGAGCCCAGCCGGCGACATTCTTACTCCCACCCCCTTCCCCTCCGAGCGGAGAGCGGAATTTCACAACCACGCACAGGTACACAAAGACCCAGAAGCGCACGGACGGGCACAGGCGTCTAAACTACGCGGACGCCTGCCTGCAGACTCTCGGGCTTCGCGGTGCTGTACTTGTGAATGTTAGGAGCGAGCCCGTAAAAGTTGTTGGAGACTCGGGGTGCACGGCTCCTTTCGCGCGTGCATGTGATTCCCATAGGGTGTGCACTTCAGGCAGGTCTGTGAGCGTGGGGCTCTGCAGGAATCTTTTACATATCCTCGCGCTGTTCCCCAGCCCCAAAAGGAGTTATTTGAAGAGGCCGTTCTCGGAAACCCAGGCGTCCTCCCATCCCTGCCCTAAGTTCCCGTCGAAGTTTGGCGAACAGGAATGGGCGGGGCTTACTAGAAGCTACCACTTAGACGCGCGATTAGTCGCGTCGGGTTTTGTTAGCACTTAGGTCAGGCTGGGGTGGGAGGGGTACCCCGCCTTTCTCTACTCGTCGCACCCTATTTGCTGAGGCCCCAGGGACCTGCTCCTGGGGAATTGTGTGGCAAGCCTGGGAGAAAGAAGATACCCTTTCTAGGGATGTCTATTAGGGCACTTTGCCCGCAAGAGTCTAGTGGAAGATGGGCAAGGGCCGGCCGCATCCAACGTGGCTCCCTACAGAGGAGTAGGAGGGAGGAGCTCCTTCGAGGAGCCTAGCCCCTCCCCGCAACCCACCCCCCTCCCCGCTTTGTTTCTCCCAGCCCCATCTGGTTCCCATTACACTCCCGCCCACGCCTGGGAGGGCGGACGGGCGGGGGCTCTGAGCGCCCGGCCCTGTGGCTCTAGGCCCCGAGGAAATGAAGGAGGTTGGGGGAGAGGCGGCGGGAAGCGAGCGGACTGGCCAGAAGCAAGGTTCCCCCTAGTCCGAAACCTCACCCCCGCCCGCCATTCCGCACTTCTGAGTGGGTGGCGTGGGCCAGGGCTGGTTATACATTCCGGCCTGGTGAGGGGACCGTTAGGCCTCCGGTGGGAACCGGAGAGGAGGGGGTGCATCACTGGGGGGAATTTCGGTAGCCAAGATTGTCTTCTCCATGCCATTAAGCCCCAAACACGGGGGTGGGGAGTGATAGAAATGAGCTGAGTCCTCGGTCCCGAAACTGGAGGGTGCGGCTACACGGGGTCCCTTCGGGCTCACTCCCCGGGGGCACTCCCGACCCCTCTTAAGTGTGTGGGCGCCCCTCCCCCCTCTCTTCTCCGGTTATTTTAGAGCCTTGGCTGCCAGCGGCTGGCCCCGGGTTTCCACGTGCCTCCGCCCTCCCTCTGCCCACGCTCCCCGTGACGCACATCCTCCGCCCACGCAGCCTCTGCTCGAGGCGCCCCCCTCCCTCCCACCCGGGCCCCCTTGGGGTGGTGCTGAGCCCCCGGATCCGGAGGGAGACGCTGGCCCGCCCGGGGAAGAGGGCGGAATAGGGCGTGAAGCAAGGGGGCGGTAACCAACTGGGCTCATGGCAATTGGGTCCCGGCCCAGGAAAGAGCACGGTGGAGGAGCCAAATCTGGGGCCTCAGCTCCACGGTACTGGGGCCGGTACTAGGCCAGAGAGGGACGAGGAGCGAAAAATCCCACGCACTGGGCCAGCCCACTCCCCTAGGGGTCAGAAGGAATCTGTTTGGGTGCGGACGTGTATCTGAGAGTGAAACTCCCGAGTGTTTGTATCTTTGTTTCTCAGGGTTGTCGTGAGGTTCAAATGAGAGGGTGTATATGAAAACTTTGTAAATTGTGAAATGTTAATAAGCAGATTTAAGACGCTATTGCCAGTTTGTGCCTCTGTACCCTGAGATTATGTATTTATACGTTTCTTTACATCTAGTTGTGTGTGTCTCTGTCTCTCTCTAGGTTTGTGAGCCCCTCTGTGTGGATTTAAAAATATGTACATTTAAAAAATCATTGACTTGTCAAGCCCCACCAGAGGCCGAGACGCCCCCGCAGCCGGAGCTGCTGAGATGTCTGTTCTTCGCTTCCCTCCCACTCCTACCACCTCCAACTCCCCTCCTACTCCCTTCCGTTGACAACAAGGAATTTCCAGCCTTTAGCAAATGGAGAGAAACAAAGAGACCAAGACTATGAGAAACTACGGAAAAACAATAAAGATAAGAGACAGGTGGGGGAGAGGCTGACAAAAAGGGGGTGCGGCAAATTAAAAACCTTAATTTCTTCTTTTTCTCCTTGAGCCCCGTTTTCCCCAGTGTGGCTCAAGCCCACTTCCCTACCTGACTCACCTGCTCCCTCCCCTCTCCTTCCACGTCGGTGTTCTCAGAGGCTCACAGAGCTGAGCAACGGATCCCATTTAATCAAGGATTAGTTTAATGCTACACTGATCACTTCCAGGAAGGGAAACGATCCTCAGTCCCCATTTTCCAAGAACAGAGGAAAAGATTGTGAAGAAAGTGGGTGGAAGAGGAGTGTAGAAATTGCCAACCAGAGGGATTGTCATTCCTAGGCATGAGTAGATTTTCATCCAGCAGATTGCACTGCTCACTGACCCCCCACCCCAAGTTTTCACCAGACCAAATCCAGCTCATACAGCAAGATCTGGCTCAAATGTCACCTTCCTGGTCCCTCTCCTTCTTGTGCCTCCTCTAGGCAGAATTAATTCCTCCCATCCCTCAGTGGCCCCAAGGCTCTTTGTATACGTTTCAATTATAGTTGCTTGTTTCACCTTTAGCCTGGGACCTCTCCTAATCTGGTCTCTGGTGGGCCCTCTGAAATGAGGGAGTTGATGATGCTATTTCCAGGCCTGAGCAGCTTTGAAAAGGGCAATTGACACAGATTTTACTCCAGAGGGGGCTGAACCTGGGCAGAACTGTTCAAGTGGAGACAATTGTTTTCTGTCTCCTTCCTTTAAGCTTAAAGTTTCCAGCGGGTCTCACAAGTCTGGTTCCTTGGCCTTCTAAAATGTCCACTACTCTGGCAAATTAATTCATACCCAGGTGCTAAAGGTAAAACTGAAATCCTTGCTGGTAACAGAAAAATATGAATATAAAGTAATGATCCTCTTTTTTTTTCTCTTTCGTCAACATGTTAGAATTGTAGTCTTCAGAGGAGTACTGTACTTCAGTTTTGTCATCTTGCCAGGGACGCTTCACCTCTCAAAGACAAATAATCCTGACTTCTGCCTTTAAGGAACTCATAGACTAGTGGGGGAGGTAGACACGATTACAATGTAGTGCCATAATAGGGGTACAAACAATGATAGAAGTATAGGGGGCAAGTGATGTCTTCTGCTTGGAGTTGTGAGGGACTGGTTTAAACAGGCATCCAAAGGAGGTGATGATGCAGCCTAGGATTTGAAGTGTAAATAGATTTCCAGGAAGAAGGGACAGTCAAATCAGAGAGAGCAGAATTTAAATTTACGTGGAAGTATGAAACAATGATATGTTTGAGAACCTAGAAATTGTTCTAGGTTCTAGAGCCCAGGGAGGTGTACAAGGCCATTTCATTAAGAATATTAGAGACTAGTGCTTCTCAAACTATAGTAAAGGACCAATTTTTAAAACAATTTCCAGGGACTTCCCTGGTGGCACAGTGGTTAGGAATCCGCCTGCCAGTGCAGAGGACACGGGTTCGATCCCTGGTCCAGGAAGATCCCACATGCCGCGGAGCAACTAAGCTCATGCGCCACAACTACTGAGTCTGCACTCTAGAGCCCGCGAGCCACAACTACTGAGCTGGAGTGCCACAACTACTGAAGCCCAGTCACCTAGAGCCCGTGCTCTCAACAAGAAAAGCCACCCCATGAGAAGCCCAGGAACCGCAACGAAGAGTAGCCCCCGCTCGCAGCAACTAGAGAAAAGCCCACGTGCAGCGACAAAGACCCAAGGCAGCCAAAAATTTTAAAAAATTATAAATAAATAAAAATTTATTTTAAAAAACCCCAACAATTTCCAATCACGGTAGAGTCCACTACTCTATAAAATACACTAAAAGTGAATTATTAGAAAAAATGAAATAAAATCTCATTTTTATTAAATTCAATAAATATAAAATTTCTCTGTCAAATTCCTATCAAAGTTTCTAAATGCCTACACTTAATTTCTGAAATTGTTTCATTGCAGATTGGTCACAAACTTTGAGTAGCACTGTTGTCGTTAAAATTTGTTTATGTTTTAGGTCATATAAGGGCAATGGACTTCATCACAGGAGATACCATGGAAAAATAAAGACTTGGTAACATGGGAGTGATGTGGTCAGATATGCATTTAGGAGTAGTGTAGAGGAAGGGTTTTATGGCTGCAAAAACAGCAAGGAGGCCAGCTTGAAGGAAACTAAAGTGGTCCAAGAGAGCAATGGTAAGGTGCTAGACTAAATCACTGGCGTGGGATGGAGAGGAAAGGACAGATTCAAAGGATAGTCAGCAGGTAAAATCAATAGGACTTGATGATTGGCTAAAGGGTTGGGGGAAGAGAAGAGTTTAGGGTGACTCTTGGGCTTCTAGCTTGGGTGATTGAGTGAATGGAATGGAGCATCTTCAAATATTTACCGTCTGCAGTCTTTTTCCTAAATTGAGAAAGTTATGAAAACCAAAATTTTTAATTTCTCATTTGACCACAGAACCTAATCTGACCTGAACTTATTTTGTGGCAGACCACCTAAACTTACATGAGGTTATTTATAGTTTCATTTATCCCACTTTCATTTATACCAATGTGGATCTTCATATCTCTTATTGCAGAAATGTTAATTTGTTTATGAGGTGCTGTCCCAGACCCCATTAGGATTGCTGCCTTATATATTGTATATGTATCATATTACATTTCTAAAATCCAAAATTCTGAAACACATTTACTATCCAGATTTTCCACCCCATTTACTCATCAGTCTTGGCCTGAGTTCTTTTGGCTATTTGCATAAATCAGATCCGCCTGCAGGTAATGAATAATCATTGCATTGTGTGCTATGGAGTCTGAAGATGATTCTCAAAGTGTTTTGAGCAGTGTCCTTATTATTAAAACAAGGCTAAAAGCTTCTTGAGTGTCTACCTGGAAGTGACAGAACTCATTTGGATGATAAGGTGTGATGTGTTTATGGACAACCAGTCTCTTTACTGTACACTTTGTTTACACATTTGAACAGCCAGTGGCAGTCCAGTGGTTAGGACTCAGTGCTTTCACTGCCAGATCCCGGGTTCAGTCCCGGTGGGGGAACTAAGATCCCGCAAGCCACGCAGCACAGCCAAAACCAAAACCAAACCAAAACAAAACAAAAAACAGTGGTCAGTGATCCTCTGGAATTAGTTCCCCTGTTCTCTGGACTTCGTTCAAAACCAAAGAGCAAGCTCTGAATGCTGAGAATTTGGGACCTGGTGGAAAATGAAGTGTGTGTATGGGTTTGGATGTGGCTGTGGGTGGGTGTGTGGGTGTATAAATTATTTTTTAAAACAGTTTTAGACTTGCAGAAAAATTGAGAAGATAGTACAGAGAGTTCCTATGTACCCCACATCCAGTTTCCCCTATTATTATCATATATTAGTATGGTGCATTTGCCACCTTAATGAACCAGTGTTGATACATTATTATTATTTTTTTAAAATTATTTATTTTATTTATTTACTTTTGGCTTCATTGGGTCTTTGTTGCTGCGTGCAGGCTTTCTCTAGTTGCGGCAAGTGGGGGCTACTCTTTGTTGCGGTGCGCAGGCTTCTCATTGCGGTGGCTTCTCTTGTGGAGCACGGGCTCTAGGCGTGTGGGCTTCAGTAGCTGTGGCACGTAGGCTCAGTAGTTGTGGCTCACGGGCTCTAGAGCGCAGGCTCAGTAGTCTTGGCGCACGGGCTTAGTTGCTCTGTGGCCTGTAGGATCTTCCTGGAGCAGGGCTCGAACCTGTGTCCTCTGCACTGTCAAGCGGATTCTTAACCACTGTGCCACTAGGGAAGTCCCTGATACATTATTATTAACTAAAAGTCTATAGTTTACTCAGATTTCCTTAGTTTTTACCTAATTTTTTTCTGTTCCAGGATCCCATACATGATACCATATTATATTTGGTTTCCATGTCTCCTTAGGCTCCTCTTGGCTGTTAGTGTCTCAGATTTTCCTTGTTTATGATGACCACGAGGCGTACTGGTCAGGTATTTTGTAGGTTGCCTCTCTCTTTTTTTTGGCCGTGCCGCACACGGCTTGCGGGATCTTAGTTCCCCACCCAGGGATTGAACTCCTGTCCTCAAAGGTGGAAGCGCCAAGTCCTAACCACTGGACCGCCAGGGAATTCCCTAGGTTGCCTCTTTATTTGAATTTTTTTAATGTTTATCTCATACTTAGATTAGTTTTAGGGGTTTTGGGGAGGAAAACCACAGAAATACGATTTTCTTCATACAATATCAAGGGTACATAGTAGCAACGAGCTTAATTTTTGTTGATAACTGACCTCTTTAGGTCAGCTAGGGGAGTGTGTGGTGTATGTATATGAGAGACATAGGATGACCACTGCAGCCAGGGGTGGCCTTGACTTTTCTGAGGATGAAATTTCTTCTCTTGCCTATGGCTCAGCCCCATTTTGACTCTTAAAAAAATCCTTTGTTTTGAAAGCTTGAACCTTCCCCAGCAGTTACCTCCTTCCATGACTTCCCCCTTAACTCACTAGCCTCCATTATCTCTAGTATTCCTAACCACCACTATCAGATCCTCTAAAAAATAAGATGCTTCAATTTCGACTAACATTTACTGAACACCTGCTATGTGCTAGGCATTCTGCTAGGCCCTCACTGTGTAAATCATTTAATGGGAAGCGCCTGATGCACAGAAAGAACCCAGGCTTTGGGGTAAGACTTGGGTTGGAACCACAGCCCAGCCCAACGAATTATGCAATCTTAGGCAGGTTCCTTTGCCTGTCTTAGCCTTGGCTTCTTCATAAATGAAGCTATTTATCTCACAGGATGTTGTGAGGAATAAAAAAGTTTCTCTTAATATTCACATGCATTTTGCTTCCAACAAAAACTACCCTATGACCACATTTTAAAATTAATTTATTTTGTCTGTGTTGGGTCTTCGTTGCTGCGGGGGCTTTCTCTAATTGCGGCAAGCGGGGGCTACTCTTTTTTTTTTTTAAAGAAACTGCTTTTTATTTATTTATTTGTTTATTTATTTATTTATTTTTGGCTGTGTTGGGTCTTCGTTTCTGTGCAAGGGCTTTCTCTAGTTGCAGCAAGCGGGGGCCACTCTTCATC